TGCGGATGCAGTCGTGGTGCTCGCTCGCCGGGATTGCTTGCCCCTGGTTCCGGGGTGGTAGCAAAATGCTTAGTGCTCTCTGTTTAGGCTTGGCCTTGGGGGGGCCAGCAGGGGTCTCAACGGGCGGGCCAGCGCGACCCGACGCGCCTGAGGAACCTAGGATGACAGGACAGCCTGGCCAAGACTTCTGAACGCGGCCAGGGCAAGTGCCATGCCAGTGATGCCACAGACCAGTACCTTGCCTAGTACCTAGGTAGGTAGTGCCAGTAGCAGTAGCAGTGCCAGTACCAGTACCGGTAGCGAGACCGAGCTTGGGTTGGGCGTCGATACTCTTGGCTGATGGTGTGAGCGACAGGTAGGTAGGGGACACTATGCCGGTTCCGGGTAAGGCTGGGAAGCTCCTGGTGGCCCAATGTCGAAAAGTCGAGGCCGTGACCTGCAACTTGGTGATCAGGTGTTTTTGGCGTGGTGGTGGAACGAAGCAGACGACGAGCTGCTCGTGATCATGAATGAGCCATCTCCATCATATCTACCACGTCGTGCCATCGAAACGGCCACGCTGTTCACTCGAAGGGGGGCTAATATCAGTCGACGGACCTCCGAGGCGGATCTTCCACCAAATGATTCCGGAGGTCCCGCCCACCCATACATCACTACGGTGTTCTGACGTTCCGATCGCCATATTGGTGGCGATGGGTGTGATTATCTCATCTCCAGTCACTTTATGCGGCTTTCACTGCGTCTGCATGCTTACACTACCCCCGTTGTCATCCCACACACACTCTGTACCTACAGGACGATGACGATTGCGTCCCGCAGCCATGAACGATGGAATGCAACGGCTGTCAAGTGTTGAGTGAAACCGCTGGTTGGATCCCAACCCCAGGTCCCTCGCATTCCTCCCACGGTTTCTCGAGACATGGAATGTACCTAGTCTTTGAGTGCTTGCGTCTACCCACCCCCGATCAACGTTCAACGATCGAGGGGGGGCCACTGATATGAACCCGAAGCCTTTGTTCTCGACTTCCCGTCTGAGATCTGGAGCTGAGCTGCGCTTTCTCGTGGCTCTGAATCAATCAAGGGTCTACCCCCTTTGATTATCTGGTCTAGCTGGGCCGCGCTTGCTGCGCTTGCTTTGTCCGCAAACGCTTCGTCTACTTGATTCTCCTTGGTCACGATTCTAGGCAGGACAGACATCCGCCTCAATCAGAAAGGGGAGCAATGATGACTGGGGATTATATGTGTCTGTTGCCCCCTTTTGCGCAGCATCGGGAAAAGATTTGACACTGATGGCTGTGCATCAATCCGCCAACGAAAGGAGAGAGACAGGTACGCCTTCACTCAAGCCTTGGAATGCTGCAGGAACCCACTGTCCCATCACTTGATGAGGCCAAAGCCCGAAAGAGGCCGACTGGGAAGACTGGAGCAGATTGGAACCATGGCGCCTGAGGACGCAGCCCTTGACAGACTACGTAGTAGTAGATTTCGCCAGGAGCTTTTCGTAAGGCAGGATGTGTTAGTAAGATGAGTAGGTCCCTCATCCCGGATACCTTAGTTGGGAGCTGGAACCTGGAGCTGGAAAGCAGATCCTGGAGTCAGTTAGGGTCAACAGGCAGACACCCTTATGTACAGCGCAAGTGCTCGAACCCCACCCGCCACCTGTCTGCCTGGAGGGCTGGAGGAAGGATCGTGGGGTCCTAGGAAAACTTGCCTACCTTAGTACAAAAGCTGGACGACAAGGGCAATGACCGACTTCTTGTGTGAATCATGTTGTGTCGGTAGTATTCCTGGAGTCCGAACTAAGGTAAAAAGGCAAACAAAGCCACCTTCCTTGCTTTCTCCTTCCACTCCTTCGACCTGCCTTATTACCACCTACCTATTGGTACATAAGCGCCTTCGCCCCCATATTCCGTCAGCACTGCTACTTCAGCAACCGACAACCGACCCCACCAACCAATCCATCCGCCTTCAGCCCGCCCTTTGCCTTGCACTACCAATCCTCCCTCCACCAACCAACCAGTCATTCGACGACCGCCCGTAAAACCACCACAGCCAACGACATTCAACTGAAGCATCATCTACCCCCGACTCCTTGACGCCACTTCAATCTCACCTCTTGCAAACCCATCAGACATCAAAATGGCCGACTCCAGCGTTCCCCGCGTTTGGGTTCAATCCAACGACAACGCCACCATTGCGATCGACCGCCCCGTCGCCGAGCGCTCCATGCTCATTCGCAACTTGATCGAGGATATCGGCGACGAGGGTATCACCGCTGATACCCCCATTCCCATCCCCAACGTCAGTCTGCTCCCTCCTGTTGCCATTTTGCCGCCGCTGACCGCCGTTCCAGGTCAACGAGGCCGTTCTCCGCAAGGTCATTGAGTGGTGCGAGCACCACCGCAACGACCCTCCCCAGACCCAGGACGACGATAACGACGCGCGCAAGAAGACCACGGAGATTGAGGAGTGGGACCAGAAGTTCATGCAGGTTGACCAGGAGATGCTCTTCGAGATTATTCTCGTACGTTATTGACCCCTCCCCCCGCCTGCCTTCCCTCTGCTGGGGCTAACAATGACTCCCCCCGCACCAGGCCTCTAACTACCTTGACATCAAGCCCCTTCTCGATGTCGGCTGCAAGACCGTCGCCAACATGATCAAGGGCAAGTCGCCCGAGGAGATCCGCAAGACGTTCAACATTACCAACGACTTCACGCCCGAGGAGGAGGAGCAGATCCGCCGTGAGAACGAGTGGGCCGAGGACCGCTAAAGCGTCGGCGCAGGGCTGCATGTGATGGACGAATACCTTCTCACCCTATAGGCTGACTGGGCAGGGTTCATTTTGCAGTACATGTCTTTGATGCATCATGGTGGCGTTGGGCTCGTTTGCTTTTTTTAACACCTTTTTGAGTTTTCACGAAGCAGGGTTGATTTTTGATGGTCGGTGGCTCGGCTTTACTGAGCCATGGTCTGGTTGTCCAGATGGACGAATGCCGACCTTCAGCACCGCGGCAGGAGGCTGATGGTTTATCAATCACAATCAATGACAGGTTATGGATTCGTGTGATGCAGTGGATTTTTTGCTCCTTGTGAGACTCGTAAGCAGATTGATGGCAGCGATACCGCGACCACTCGGCTCGGATATGTAGTCACGCAGAACGTCATGCGGTCGGCGCTGGCTGGACTAGTTTCCCAAGAGGTTGTATTCTGAGCCCGTAGCCATGAGTGTGGACGACTCTGTTCACGAGAGACTCACGTTGCGTGCATCCAGTTCTGCGTTCTGTGGCATAACTTGCGGAATGTTGGAGAGAAGCCATCATTTTCTTCGAAAGTGTATGAAGCATTCGTGTGTAATTGCGGATAGCTTGCGCGCTCACATTAACCAGACTGACATAGGACCACGGCACTACTTCGCACAGAACAGACATGCAGTGGCATCATGATTTTTGCATTCCTTTCCCTACGGTCGTGAGACGCAATACTAAGAGCCTAGCCAGGCTCCATCCGGGTACGACCCCTTCCCCCCCTTCCAGTCAGGAAGGGGACAATTCCAAGTTTTTGAGAGCAAGGAACCTTGGTCGCCGGTCATCGATAACAAAAAACCATCGCTTTCCTTCCCGAAAAAAAATCCCAAAGTAAAAGTTGTGCTGTGCCCCATTGCGGTTTGTTTCCCTTTCCCCGCTCATGGATAGTAGACCTCGCCCGAGCATGGTGTGTGCGTTTTTTGAAAAAATTGTCGAAGGAGCCGGGCGAGCAGTACGGAGGAACGGGTGCAGTTGCGTGGAACAGGCGGGCGCGCGAGAGGGGATACCGCCCGCGAGTTGAGTGGATGTGGGACAGCCGTGGGAAGATCGTAGGGGAGTTTGGGGGCGTGGTATTTAGATGCCGAGCTTGGTCTTGCGCCAGTGCCTTCGCTTGGCATTGTAGCTGGGTTACGGGTTAGCGAACGTGGTCCTCGATGGTGCGCGGTGCATGTTCTTCTCCAGTCTTTCCGCCCCCAGGCGATCCTGAGGAGGAAGGAGAAAAATTGGTGATGGCGTACCGGATGGTGTTACCGGTCCTGAGACGAACCCATTGGGGAATGGGACGGTTCTGCTTCTGGGCCTTGGCCAGCTTGACCTTGGTGCGGAACGACTTGTGGCTCTGTGCGGAGGAAATATCGTCAGTTTACACATGTCCTGGTAGCGGTTTTGGTTTGCGCCTCCATCATGGAGAGGTTCGCCCTCCCGACGTCGTGGATCATTCCCGGCGCCTCCAGCAAATGCCAATCCAGTGTCGGGCAGGGTCCGTATCGCAGTGTTTGGGGCGAACGTACCGGCATCGTGACGGTATTTGGTGTCGATGTCGAGAAAGATGATTCGGGGGCGAGTTCGTTGAGGAGATTTCGGAAGTGGCAGCAAAATTGAATCACGACCTGAGAACGTGTGCAGGGCCGTGGGGCAGAGTACGTAAGCGAGCCCTGGGTCTCTGTGTCCAGTCGTGTGCGGAGGATTTTGTGGCGCCCGGCTTCGCCTGCCTTATCGTTATCAGCACCAGTGGCCCGACTTGCCACTTACCCCTCTAGTTTCATGAGTGGAGCCCGCTGCCCTGAAGGAGGACCGACTATCGGGGTCAGGCGATCAACGTTCGGCCTAGGCCCAAGTGTGCTCCATGCTGCAGTGGTTAGAAATCCTGGAAAGGGGGACAACCCCGGATTAGACTGTTGACCGACGACTACACTGCCTTTCCACCACCTATCACGCGCGCAGCCCAGCGGACCTAATCGACGACTAGTGCGACTTGCTACCCTCCTCTTTGTACGCGAAACGACGAACAGCCGGCTGATCGATCAAGGTTCAGAGACTCTCGAAACTCTAGGGAACAGAACACCTTTGCGGCGACGAACCTTGGGAGGGCGCATTGTATTGTCGATCCCGATCTGCATCGAAGACGACAGCGACAACTACGAACAGTCCACCAACTCCTCACCCACGTCACAACCCCATACACAGCAGCCAAGATGGGCGCCAGCATGTCATGGCTGTCAGGCATGCTCTTCTCGAAGAAGGAGATTAGAATATTGATCCTGGGCTTGGTATGAAGAGCTGCCCTCTGCAGTGCAGGCACTGTGACCGTCGGGAAACGAAGAAGCTGAGACAGTCAAACAGGATAACGCTGGCAAAACGACACTGCTGTACAGACTGAAGGTTCGTTGTGAGATGGCATGCCGGCGAGGGTCCTTTGGCTGACCAGTTCTAGGTTGGCGAGGTCGTCACCACCATTCCGACGATAGGCTTCAACGTCGAGTCCGTCACATACAAGAACCTAAATTTCAACGTCTGGGTATGTTACTTTCTGGAGCGGCTCAATGCTGGCGTGCGCTGACTTGTCCCTCGCACAGGATCTCGGCGGACAAACATCCATCCGCCCATACTGGCGCTGCTACTACGCCAACACGGCAGCCGTCATCTTCGTCGTCGACTCGACCGATATCGAGCGTCTGCAGACGGCCGCCGACGAACTGGGCGCCATGCTTAACGAGGATGAGCTCAAGGACGCGGCGCTGCTCGTCTTCGCCAACAAGCAGGACCAGCCGGGAGCCAAGGGGGCGGGGGACATCTCCGAGGCGCTGCGTCTCGGCGAGCTGCGCGACCGCAACTGGACCATAATGGCGTGCTCTGCCGTTGACGGCAGCGGTGTCAACGAAGGCATGGACTGGCTTGTGGTAAGTGGCCTCAGCGGGTTGTGGCTTGAGCGCTGTACTGACTCGTAGCAGCAAACCGTCAACCAGGAAGCCTAAGTGGCCTGTCGATCTTGTACAACACCTTCCAGCGATCGACCACACCGCATATGAACAGCTGTCACGCTCAGCAACCTTTCCGTCGTTGGGTAGATCCGCGCATCTGGAAAGGAGGGGCAGCGAAGGACGGTACAGGGCGCGAGAGCCACGAGTTTGCTCCATTCCATGAGCATCGGCGTTCGGGCGAGGGAGGCTTGTCGGTCACGTCTTTTTGGGCGTGGCCCTTTCACACATAGGCATGCGGCATGCGCACATGAGCGCATTGGTCGCCGTCACGGAAAGGACGCGTTGGATGGAGAGGGCTATAGACAGGTTGCATTCTCAGGCTGCCGCTACAGTCTATGGGGTTGCTGAGAGCAGTACAACTTTTTAATATCGAGACGGGGCAGTCGCCTCGTTCGTTCTGGTGAATCACTTGCTTATGACGTGCTGTTGTAGCACTTTGATATCAAATGCCAACAATTTTTCAAGGCTATGAAAGGAGGCTATTATGAAGAAGCTATTATGAGGATGGGGTTTGAGAAAAGACGCAGAAAATTCGAGTCTCAACCGAGAAGGACAGCACCGAGCAAAACACCCATCAGCGTCGCACCAACGGGCACTTCGACGCGACCACCAGTTCCCTCATCCGCCGACCCGGACTGCGAAGGCGACACTGAAGATAAAGCTGATGTATCTTCGACCAAGGAGCTCGCAGCCGACCCATGAATGCTGGACGAATCCAGAGTCGTCACTGTCGAGTGATATACGCTATACCCCGGCGAAGCTGATGACTCAGGGGTCGGCACGGGATAGGCAAGGCCATCCGTCGAGGTCGTCTTCGTTCCGTCGAACATCGACGTAAAAGCCACATTTGTACTCGAGGTGCTCGCGACAGGCTCCGAGGCCTGGCTTGCGTCCACGGTTCCATATCCTCCTGGCATCGTCACATCCGCGACAGTGGTAGGCTGTACAAGCCCCTCTTGACTGGTAAGACTTCTCGACGATGATGGCGGCGACGGCTGGGCAAGCGGCGCGACGCACTGCAGCGGCGCAGGCGCGCATTCGAGGCCGGCGGCACAGCTCCATGCGCCATCCTCGCAGCAGACAGAATCGGGGGCTGTGCAGGTGGCGCCGCAAGCGACGAAGGGCGGACCGCAGAGGGGGACCCCGGTCTCAACGGGTCCGGCAGCGGGTGACGGCGGCCGACACTCGAGGCCGGGACCGCATGTATAGTCGAGAGGGCAGGCGAAAGGGGTTGTGTAGGGGTCGACGGGCGAGCAGCAGATCTTGTCTGCAGGGATGCAGCCTGAACCGCAGGGGTGGTTCTGGCAGAGAGCGAGGACTGCTGGCAGGGCAGCCTGTAGGAGTATGAAAAGTCTCATATTGGTTACGGAGCTGGTGCGTGAGAGTGGAAGAGTGGGTGATGGATAGTAGCGGACCTACGGTACAACGAGCTCCAGACAGTCAGTCAAGAGGCCTCTCTCTTATGCAATGGCTGGGCCAGAAGTTTGCTTGCGGCACGGGTCGCTGCGGTGACTGATTCAGGGTTACTCGAGGGCAATCACGGTGACGGGAGGAGACTGTATGGGAAGATGCTGTGATGTCGTACCAAGGCGTTTCGCGTGCTTCATTGGGGGTTCGAGGACCGGTTGGTAGTACGACAATGGAGAATCGTGCGAGTCACTATTCATTACGAGGTTTGTCTGTCACCCGTCGAGGCTGTGACATACTGCCATCTATCTTACTCGTGTTGCTTTCTGCGGTATTGGTTGACTGTATTGAGCATGTCATCAGATCATTGAAGTAAGATATGTTGGTCTCTGGATTTAAGCCACTCTGATCATTCTTGAAACCACCTCATGCTCATGCTTCCAGTTTGGTGTTACCGAGTTCTTGAAGACTCAGCTGTGATAATAAATCGTACAGCTTCAGGAACTCAACTAGAATCTGACCTGAGACAATATGCAAACCGTTCACGCCTCACCTACTGCTGCAAAATCGCGGCGGAGGTCTTCGTCACTCTATCGACGCGCTACCTAGAGACGTCGAGATTACCGGGCCGGTGTGGAGCGGCAGCGGACAGCGGGATTCCGCTTGATAGGCCACAGACGGCAGCGGGCCTCTGTTTCTGGCATGTCGAGCCGAGTGCTCTGATATCAGAGTACAGGGGTTCGACGTTCAGATTTCGTTGCCGTATAGCAAGCCTCCATTTGATCGCAAGCAACTGTTCAGAGTCTGAGGCTTTCGACCGCTCCAAGTGGTATCACTTCAACTCTCTTGTTGACCAAAGGTCGACCCTCCAAGACCAGTCGGCTGAGCCGGAGAGACACACATATCGCCCGCACCCTCACCCTCATGCTCTTGGCCTCTGATCCCGAACCACACCGAGTCATGTCCGTGACGATGTGTCAAGGGCGACCACTCTCTGTGAGCGCCATCTCACCCACGCTTGCTTATTGCCGGCGACTGATTGGGTCGAGATCCACCTGAGCTCTGTTCAAATCCCTGCTTCATGGCTGGTGTGCAGCTGTATCACCCACTTTGTCGTCGAGAATGGAACGTCCAGCAAGCAGGATAGAGGGCGAGTGGGACGCTGGGCTCCGAGCTCGATGGCAGAGCTCAGGGTTTGAAAAGCTGGCCTACCACTTGTATATGTGACGGAGATCCTCCAGCCTTTGTGGTCCACAAAGTCTTCTCTCAAAAGATATCTCTTTCGTTCCTCATATCGTTCCACTTGTGCTTCAATCTTCAAGTCGCCTGTATCCTCGATCCCATCCTCGCCTGAGACACCATCACGATGGCCGACGACAGCAGCAACAACAAGACGCCGCCGACCTCCAGCCATGACGAAAAGCCCGTCTACACGACGTCCAATGGCGCTCCCGTCGCCAATCCGACGGCCTTCCAGCGTGTGGGCCACATGGGTCCTCTCCTCCTCCAGGACTTCCACTTGATCGACCTCCTCGCCCACTTTGACCGCGAGCGCATCCCCGAGCGAGTGGTTCATGCCAAGGGCGCTGGCGCCTACGGCTACTTTGAGGTGACGGACGACATCAGTGACATTTGCTCTGTTGATGCGTTCACCGGCGTCGGAAAGAAGACGCCTGTCATCACCCGCTTCTCCACCGTCGGCGGCGAGAAGGGGTCGGCCGATACGGCGCGTGACCCCAGAGGGTTCGCCGTCAAGCTGTACACCCAGGAGGGCAACCTGGACCTCGTCATGAACAACACGCCCATCTTCTTCCTGCGTGATCCGACCAACTTTCCTCTCTTCATCCACACGCAGAAGCGCAACCCGCAGACGAACCTCAAGGATGCCACCATGGTGAGTGGACCCCCTTTTCAAGGAGCGCACAGCGCGGCAATAGAAGGAAAAAAAAAAGGCTAACAAGAAGGGGGCAGTTCTGGGACTACATCGCCAGCCACCAAGAGTGCGTGCACCAGGTCATGCACCTCTTCTCCGACCGCGGGACGCCGTACTCGTACCGCCACATGAACGGCTACACAGGCCACACGCTCAAGTGGACCAAGCCGGACGGGTCGTTCGTCTACACGCAGCTGCACTTCAAGACGCGCCAGGGCAACAAGACGTTGACGGCGGACGAGGCGGCGCGCACGGCGGCCTCGAACCCGGACTGGGCGACGCAGGACCTCTTCGAGGCGATCGCGCGGCGCGACCCGCCGTCCTGGGACGTGTACGCGCAGACGCTGACGGCGGCGCAGGCGCGGGCGTTCCGCTGGAACGTCTTCGACCTGACCAAGGTCTGGCCGCAGGCCGAGGTGCCGCTGCGGCGCTTCGGCCGCATGACGCTCGACCGCAACCCGGCCAACTACTTTGCCGAGGTCGAGCAGGCCGCCTTTGCGCCGTCGCACCTCGTGCCGGGCGGCGAGCCCTCGGCCCACCCCGTGCTGCAGGAAGCCTCTGCAGCTACCCGAACACAGGCCGCGTCCAGTGGGGCGTCATCTCCCATCTAAGCCCCGTCAGTAGGCGATAATATACCTTCAGCCCGCAATCTGAGAGGCGGGGTAGTAGCTATATA